TTAACACTACAGACCTCGAGAATTAAAACTGACTATACTTTTATTACAAAATGTTAAAAAAATTTATGATCATTACAAAATATTCTACGTACTTACAACTATTACAAAATATTGCGAAAATTTACGACATTCACAAAATATTGTTCGCATTTACAACTGTTACAAAATATCGCAGAATGTTACGAAGATTTTTATTATTGATTTAAGATTGATTATCATTTAATTTAAATATTGATTTAAGATTAATTTCAATTGAATCTAATTATTGATTCAAGATCGATTTCAATCTAATCTAATTATTGATTCAAGATTAATTTTTCAATTGAATCTAATTATTGATTCAAGATTGATCTTAATTTCATTGAATTATTAATTTAAGATAGATATTAATTTTTGATGTAACATTTTAATTATTACAAATACTACAAAAATTTACTAATCATTGCAAAATATAACAAAAATCAACAATCACAACAAAGTACTATAAAAATTTATAATTATTGTAAAATATTATAAAAATCCAGTGTTTCCCCACAAAGATATCTGCACAGTCTCTTTCAAATTAAATAAAGAGACTGCAGTCTGTCTCTCTGACTGTTCCAGAGGTAAACGATCGAATCGAAGCTTCCGACACATCCCGCGCAGAAAGATCAGTTTCGACATGGTGCACGAAATCGAAAGTCATAGAGATCGAAAGCGGCGAGAAGGGAGCCAGCGTACGGCGAAAGCGAGCGTGATCCTGACCCAGGACACTCCAGTTTCCTTGGAGAGATCTGTTCGACAATCGCGTGTCGGGTTAATAGAAATCTCAGTTGGGTCGGGTCAGGACGACGGCAACAGCCAGCGAAAGTGAAAACGGCCCGAAACGAAACTCGTAAACTCGGTCGTGGGCAGGTAGATGTAGGCGAGTGAAATTGAGGCCGGTAAAAGTGGGCTACTGGGTCCCTACTCTATATTTCTCTCGCACCACTTTCGCTCTCGATAGGTGCTTTCGTGGCGCGTTCACTTTCAGACGCCGTGCACCAATGCACCAACGCGAGGCCCACGTTCGCCTCCTGAAAAGTTCGACGGTTCCATCGGGTCATTGACTTGGATGCGTCATTGTTACTGAACTGAGTATCTTTGTAAATTCAAATTTTCATTAAATGAATATTTTGCTCATCGATTATATGAGAGAAAAGTTAAAAATGTATTTCTTCTGGCGACGTTAACGCAGTGGAAGTAATATGCAACACAGGATTCTTAAAATTGATTTAATTTTATCAAATTTACTATCATTTAACCATGATTAAATTTACTAAATTTATTATGATTGATTAAGTATGCAATTTAATCATTTCCTGCTTAGTTTATTTTTGTCTGTCGATTGTAAACATTATGTTACTACAAATTAAAAATCTCTCGCGTTCTTAGAAAAATATTAAATGGCACTGAATAATCTTTCTTTGGACATTATATTTTCTTTAATATCGAGATTAGTTCCAAGAGGTTGTGTTAACATTGTATTAACATTGGAATCGTTGACGACCAACATATTCATTATTATATCAGTGTACAGTTTGCAAATGAGAATTTATGCAAAGAATATTAAATTAGAGAATATTAAATTATTGTTATAATTAAATTACTATAATTGAATTATTACAATTAAAATTTGTCTAGATAACATTAAGATGTGCCGAACGATAAATGTATAAAAGCAAGCAGAATACTGCTGTGCATTTTTCAGAAACCACATCTAGTCAATTATTTAATTTCACGGAACAATTGAATGTTGCTCCGTGTCTATATTCCGAATGTACTTTGAAAGGAAGTGAAGCATACATGTGCAAGTGTATGTATGTGCTTACACGATTGATTAATTGCGCCTGATGATTTTCGTCCCTCCATACATAGCAGCAAACAGTGATAGTACTATACGGCGCCATTTTGCCAGCGTATTTAAGCCGATGGTTTTATGGTTTTCTTGATTGTAATACTTAAAATTCAGGCAGTCAAAAATACTTAAGTGTTCACGAGAAATAAGAAATACCATTGGAGTACATTTTCCAAATTGATGAATTGTTAAACAACATTATGGTCGTGGAATCGCAATGATCTTGAGCAAACCAATTTTACGTTGACTTCACGGAATTGATTTTCAGAAAATAATGTTCGACGCATAATTGTTTATATTTCGAAGTAATGTTACAATTAATTTGTTTGCTAACAACGTCTATAGTAAATTCTCCCTAATTGACGCTCGGATTGTGGACAAAAATGGAGAATTTGAGAAGAGGGGATACTATATTAGATATTATATTATTATAGTATTATTATATTATATATAATATATTATATTATTATTATATTAGATATTATATTATTTTATATTATTATTATATTATACATTATATTATTATAGATATTATTCGAGTCTTCCGGCTCGTTTTCATAGTTATTGTCATAGAGTCGTCACAGTATTTCTCATAGTATTTTATAGTGATTGTCAACAACTATAACGTTCCATTAAATGCGGCGCACCTCTTAATAAAAAAAGCGATAAAAGAGTGTTCTCATAAAAGAATCGTAAATTTTCTTTCAATATTCTGCCAAGTCTTGCAATTTCAAACAATAACACACAGAAGTTCGCCTTGGTTGTCTTCGCAACAACATTATAGCTATTTAACCATGCATATTTATGCATGTCTATGCAGAACAGATGCTTACTGGCTTATACGAATAAACAGTTACATAATAAATCGAGCATGCACACGAACGTTTTTCTATACCGTATAGTCTCCTTTCGGCTAAGTTGGCACTGGACAAGAAACCAGTATCGGGGGCTCGACATTTATCAGAGCAGCGTCATTAGCATTTACATGGAATTAACAAGGCTCCGACGTTCTACTACACTAGTTTCTTTACATGTAACGTGACAGATAATCGAGAAAATGAAATCATCGGACGGAAAACTACCTCGAATTAGATAGAGGGATTCGCTGTTGCCAATCA